CGATGCCGACTTTCTGTTGACACACATACAGCCATTACCTGGTTGTGAGCTACTGGCTTTCAAGGCGTCATTATGGAACCGTGACCCTGCAGCACGGCCAAAGATAAATATCCGATTTACAAAACCACGTGAGGGCAATGCTGGAAATTGTGGTGAGAAAACATTGTTGGCAGTTTGCCGTGATGGGGTAAGCACAAACGGCTTTTGTTCCAAATTTAAAAGCTTTATTTAATGTACGTACACTATTATTTTGAAATAGTCGTCGAAGAATGTAAACTTGCTGCAATATAACAAAGCTGAGGATAAGTGGCAAGAATATGCGATTATAAAAATCGATTACAGTTCTTATAGTAATATTATAAAGGATGATAATATATTATTTATTGGCGGTGGTAAAGGTGGTACAGCATTAAACATCGCCCGCAGCTGGAATATACGAAATAAAACATGGCTACATTTGCCCAACATGAAGGTAGCAAGATGGCAACACTGCGTTGTCGAATTAGATGGTAACATCTACGCGATTGGTGGTGCTGATGGTAAAAATGTTCTGTCGTCCGTAGAAAGGTATATATATATGAATCTGTAACGATGACGATTGGGAGCAATGACAATTAAAGGTTAACTTTAAGCTTAACGTTGAAAGCACTTTAGACTAGATGCTTTAGGGTAGTGTGGATTGTGGACAAAACAAAGTGCTTCTACATTTAAGAAGGAGGGAATTGAATACTATATTATGGGTCAGAACAGGGCACTAGCCTCTCAGATCTAAATTTCGGAAACTAAATTCAGGGAAATCGACAGGATACAGAGAATGCGCAGTGCGCAGAGGACAATGAAACATTAGAATATTACCTCGACATTTTAATGCCTCTGGCTTTAGAGAGATAGAGTATACTCTCTGACATCACCAGCGACTACTTTAGAATAATTCTAAGTTTTTATTAGACAATTTCATCGTCGACGCGCTTTAACGTAACAAACACAATACTTTACATTTCAATTTAGATAGTTGCACTCATTTTTTTTTTTTTATTGTTTATTTCCAGATATACGACATCCGGTGGTTGGGAGTTAGTGAAAAGTTTGAATGTTGGACGATACGACGCCAGTGCAGTGACTTTGAATGGTGAAATTTACGTAGTGGGCGGGGTAAATGAAGATAGGACTAAATCAAAATCCGTCAAATGCTACAACCCGGATTCGAATACTTGGACTTCTTGTGCGGATATAAGAAATTATTACCAGCAACCTGGTGTAAGTTAGATTCAAAATAATTGTTAATATTGGGAGGATGTTCACCATGCCTAAATTTGGAAGAATGGCGAAGAGTCAAAGAAGAGCATATAACAAATTTACTTAAGTTTTGAAATTTGTAAGAGCTAAAACCATGTTTCAGAGGCTAATGCTATACCAAGCTTTTTTTCTTTTACTGCGGATGCATCTAAGTATGCGGATTCATATCCGGTCTAGAGTTTTCAAATTTTCTTGTGAACTACATTCTGCCGCTGGAATAACTGATTCAACTTGAATTCACCTTTGTAAGCCTTCGCTAGAAGCAAAGTAGCTCCGCTTCAAAAGGAGTGATCAAAAATTGTCTAACTAAAATAGTTACTGATTTACCCCATTAAAATTACATACAATATTTATTGCTCTTTTATATTACAGGTAGCTGTACATAACGGTCACATTTATGTTGCAGGCGATAAAATGTTGAACGTTACGATCCTCAGCGAAACATGTGGTCTCAGGATAATTAAGTTGATTTTTGCCAATCGCTTGGTATAAAACTAAATAATTTTAAAACATTTCGCAGATTTGCTCTTGGATGGTAACAATAGGTCTTTAGTATCGCTAGACATAAACTATGGGCTATTTGGAACCACTCAGAATGTTCTTCGGAGGCATGTGTATCAGTCTATGACGAGCATAATAATCGTTGGCAACAAAAATGCTCATGTCCCAAAACATACGTGGAGAACTGTTTTGTTGTGCCAGAATCCTTACTGTCGTCGAAATGATTCAAAATTGTACCTTTTTTTATTGAATAAATTCTTTTCAAATAAATTCTCTTATGAGAAATAATAAAAACAAAATCTTCACTAATTATTTTGAAAGCAGAGATGGTGCTAAACGCACTTGAACTGAAAGTTGGGAATCAGTAATATATGTACCTCATTCTAAAATGAATGCGCAAGTTTGCCGACTACTGGTATAAATATATACATACACAGGTAATATGTACATATATTTATACTAGATCTATAATAGAACTTCTATTAATGGCGCTTTGATTTTAGAACAAAAATATGAGAGAGTAAAAGAAGAACGGCACACTTGAGAGTGTGATCGCTAACAGTGGTGGACACCAAAATTAACAGTACTCTTATTACAACCACAGTTACGATATTCATAGAAAGGTTAAAAAAATAACATTAAATAAAAATGTCAAGTAATCGATGATGAGTCGATTTAGCCATGTCCGTCTGTCTAACTGTCTATATATACGCGAACTAGTCTCTCAGTTTTTGAGATATCGTTCTGAAATTTTGCACACGTCCTTGTCTCCCTAAGAAGCTGTTCATTTTCCGGAACCGCCGATATCGGAGCACTATAGCATATACTGCCATACGGTACAATCTCCGAAAATATTGCTTCATAAAAACTGAACGACCAAAATCTAGTCCTTGTATGGAAAAATTTTGTATATAACGAGATATCTTCGCTGAATTCTGCATGAATTATTACCCAAGGCAACGGTGAAATCTCCAAACTGATCAATCAAAATTCAGTCCTTGTATGAATTGTATAATTTTTAACTCGCCACTGTAGTTTGTATGTGTTAGTTTTACTAATCCATCACATAGTGAGAACGGCATATGATTGTGAACAAAATCTACAAGCAATCACCACGACAAAAATGCTTGTATAAAATGGTAAGTTGCTGTCTTTGAAGCTCAGAGTTTTAAGAAGCGTCTGCGCGGCTTAACGCAATAATTATATTCTGTATTTGGCAAACTAAAAAGTAGTGCAAAAGTAATACAGTAAAACGGTGTTTGAAAAGAGAGAGAAACGATAAATAAAATTTAATTGAGTTAATACTAATATATATACATACATATATGGTTGTGTATGTATTGTTATCCCGCAAAGTTCTGAAAGCGGTTCAAATCCAAAAACAATAATTATGAAGGTGCCAAAATTGTATAAAATTCAAAATAATAAAATCTAACGGAGAATAATTAAATTAAAAATATGAACATGGTTCTTAAAATATGCCACGTTTAGACAGTTTTAGTAAAAATTCGTTGGGACCCGAAAAATTAAAAAAAAAATTAGGATGATTAAAAAAAGACAATTTAATGAAAATGAAGTTCATATCATAAATTTTCTAAATTAAATTTAAACAGAACTGCAGTTATTTTGTTATACAAACTATTTTTTAAACAAAAAATTAATTTTAGTTAACAAAAAAATTAAATTAAAAATTTGTGAAACTTTTTTTTATTACTTAACTCTTTGTTGATATTGAATAATTGTAATAAACCTTAATATTGAAAATATTTAAAAAGAATTTTATTCACATAGGGTAAAGTAAAACTGTAATAATTAAAGAATCGGATAGAATCACTAAATTGGTACACTCATAAAAATTAGCATTACTCAAAGAAATTGAATTATTGAATTGAAAATTAAAACTTGTTTATTTTATTTAACGAATTTATAAGGCATTAATAAAACAAATTAGAATTAGGAAATGGAATTTCATAAAAGAAATTTATTTTTAATAAGAAATTCACTTAATTTTTGCATTTTTGTTTTACACAATTTTTTAAAAAACCACCAATACATTTAAAAAAATGGTTTTTTTTTACAAAAAAATTATCAAAAAATTTTACCGAATATTAAAAATAATTTTGTGCAAAAATATGATTTTTAAATTTTTTTTTATTTGTTTAAACAAATTATTAATTTTTATTCAGCTTTTTGTTTATTATTTTATTGTTAGTTGTTTTTTTTTATTATTTTTTTTAGTTATTTTATATTACTTCTTTTTTATTATTTTTTTATAAAACTTATTATAAGAATTAAAAAGTGGAAGTTTACACAAGAAAATGAAGCGTTATTATTTTCATTGAGAAATTGGCTTAGTTTTTCAGTTTCATTAATTTCATGTTTGCATTTTTAATTAACCATTTTTGCATTTAAATAAAAAAAAATACAAATCTAAACATTTAATTTTTAAATTACAATTTTTTAATTCTTATTATGTTTAAACAACTCCTTTTTTTTTGATTTTTTGTCCATTATTTTATTATATTTGTGTCATTGTTTTTAATTCAATTTTCGAAAGTTTTATTTTTAATTTTTAAATTCTACCTTTTTAAGTTTTGGAAATTTTATTTAAGTTTAGTAAATTTTATTTACTTTTTTACATTTCTTAGTTTTATTTTAATTTTTGTTATTTACAAATTTCTCATTTTTTTATATTTTTAAACCAACAACTTATTTTATTAAATTTTTTTATTATTATTATAATTATTATTATTATATTATAATTATTATTAATATTTTATTATTATTTTTCTTATTTTTTATTAATATTTTTTTATTATCTTTAATTTTTATTCCTTTTTTAAATATTTTTTAATTTAAAAAGTTTCGTATTTTTAATTTTTTGAATCTTTATTAACTTTACATTTGTTTGTACATATTTTCTTTTTATTTCATGGCTTTGACACTTGTCTGCTAAACATGTTTATTTTACCGTATGTATGTACACACATAGCTTGCTTTTAAGCTTCTTCTGTCACAAAAAGTGAATGTACATTGCGGATAGTAATTGTTAGAATAACAACAACAATAACTAGTAATTTTCTGCCCAATCGCAAGAGACTGCCATCAATTCCATTTGCACGCCATCAGATGCGCTTTGCCTTAAGCACACACGCACATATACGTATATACATATGTAT